GATTAATAACTAGGAAAAACTATTCTTGATATACATATACTTGTATGTATCTATGTATATATGCAGAGAACCATTTTGTAGTAATTACATCTGCCCAAGGCCTTGTTTCCAAATCCGATCCAACGGATAACTACAAAGTTTTTCTTTAAAGAGGGCGCTCCTAAACTGACGATAACTGCCATAAAAATGGCTTTTATAAAAGCCATCAGCAAATCAGAGTTGAAACCGGATTCTCTATTTGTAGTCATGGTCGAGTATAGTCGCATACCATAGCATTTTGTATAGATAAACATCAACTTTTTGATAATCGAAGGTTTTTATAAGTTGTATCATATAACAAGGATTAACCGGAAACCATTTTTACTTATATCTACAACTTTTGTTCTATTTTGAACATTTTGACTTTACGGCATGCCAACACCGAAGTATAGCAGAGAGGCGATAAAAAATATGTATAGTAAATATTTTTACTTAATATGTCTTAAGATGTATTCCATAACAGTTAAAATACCGCGACTTCTTCGAAAACGAATGGTTAGTCAATCTCGCAGAAATGAAAAATTAACAACAATAATTGGAATTAAGCGATGGCTCAAAAATTAAATTGACTCGCAGTATCCGTAATCAAGTTCATGTCTTGCTGCAGAGATATATATATCACAATCAACAACTTAACCGAGTCCAACTTCATGTAATAAAAGACTGTCGACAAATTCGAACACCATTTTGCAAGAACTTTGTCGTATACGCAATTCTCTTAGCAGGAGGCTTTATATTGTACTCAAGCGTATATCTGAGAATGTCGAGGCAACTCATCATACTTTCGAATTTAAATTCGTGAAAGGTCCTTGGAGAAGTAATCGGCTGAAAAGATAGAATACTAAAACTTGATGAGTTTACAAATGACAATTAAAATGGGCTGATCTGAGTGCCCACTCACGAGATTATCACTGACAACAATTTTGTTCCAAATCCAGCCATGAAAAATCGAATTGTCTTGAAGTCTTGGGCAGAACAATAAAATAATTTTTTTTTAATGAAAATATGAGTTTATTAATCGACATTATCTCCATCTAGAGCAAACAAAGCATTTGTTGTGATCCAACATTTTGGTAGGTTAGTGTAAAGCTTTGAGACCTTCAAGCTATGTAAATCTTGAGCTCAACATTTGAGTGAAATTTTTTTCAGCTAGTCACTTTTTGAGTTTGAGAAAGAGTAAACAATCACTGGGGCTAAATTTTGCGAACGCAATCAACGTAGACTAGTATATAGCGTAATTCTTTAAATATATAGGTCGTATCCTAAGCTGAATGGTCCCAAACGTTGTCTTCGTGAAAAATACAGAAGAAGTTTTACCTTAAAATAATTTCATGTGAGTACGTAAAACTAATAACTAAAACCTTGCCAATCGGCTGCTGTGTTTCGTACGCTTTAAAAGTCGTCCGACCTTCACTAAGCGACAACTATTCAGCTGACTGGCGTTTGGACTCAGGTGTCTATATTTGGTCTAGCACTGATTGACTTTTGAACGTTGTTTGCCTTTTCGATCGAACTCTGCACTCAAAACGCTAATAACTCGAGACCGAATAAAGGAAATGTTTTGAAACAGTAACAGTACTCTAATTAAGATCAGTGCTCTCCGACAGTGGTAGAGATTTTCTTGTCTGTGGTGCGACCACTCGGTTAAACCAAAGGCTCTCCAGTCTACTGATATTAAAGCTCTTATTCTTCCGACTTTCCAAACCTCGATTTTTCGAATAACCTCAAGACTATCACTATAAAAACTATGCCTCTAGCGTCTAATTGCCCGTCGGTTCAATATATCCGATAGTCTGTGCAACAATTAACTATTTAACATACAGCTGTACTATTACTCATGAGCAACGCGCAGACCACACACGCATGCTAACAAATATTTAATGGCATTTTAACAACGGTGTTATACGTAAAATCTTAAATACTACATATGTATGTATACATATATGTGCTGGTGTTAACATAAAAATGTGTTAATTGTACAATTAAATTTCATCGGAAGCAACAATGCGCGCAACAATACAGCGCAGCAACAACACAATAGCAGTACAATAGTAACAACAAAACTGTTAAACTACTTGTGTACGAGTGTCGTTTACACTTCGGCGCCACAAAAGCAGAATTTTCCAACAACAATACCACACAATGAAAATTAACAGCAGCCGAAAAAAACTCATCGTTTTACCAAAAATTATTTGCTTCATAAATTTGTTAAATGGCTTTTTAAGTGTAATGCTTGCAAACAACTGGAAAGTAATAATAACAACAATAGCTGCCGAAATACCAAGCATACGCGCTGCACTGCCGCCAAACTTCCACAATAGTCGTCGAGTACGCGTACTTTTAATTGTAATAGAAACCCAGTGGACGAGCAACATCGCCAACTTCGACTACGTGCATGATTTTCGACAAAAACAAGGGAAATATAATTTTTAAAAAATAAAAGAAGCAATAAAAGGCACGCCAGATGCCAACGGCAGCGTAGCAGAGTGACCAGAAATTTGCAGCGCCCGGGAAAAGTTTCAGTTCGCGCTCGAAAATTTGCGTGAAATGAAATTAAATATTTTGTGGCTTTTTATAAATGAGATGCATTTCTGCAAAGCGAGTATAAAAATACAACAACAACAAAAAATAATTACCAAACAAAAAGGGACATATTGACAGCAGCGAGGCTGGTGGTGTGTAAAAAACCGTAAATATTTTGTATACACACATTTTCAATGTGACAACAGCAACATTGTTTGTGCAACATGTGGAAAAACTGTACTTCAGTAAATGAGTGTATGTGTGTGTGTGTGCATTTATGTGTGATAGCGTCGTTTGAAGCGTTTGTGCAATTTCGTGCTTGTATTGGTGGCATATTTTGTAAATTGCAAATTCTTTTTTCCGCTTTGTTCAAATAAAAATTTACGCTTGATTTGTGGCGCGTAATGTTGCATATCGAATGACTGGCATATTTTATGTTCGGTGCTTGTATTTTTTCGAAATTTTTCTTACTACTACACTGAAGTATGCCATAATTTTTAATATTTTTAAGAGCAAATAACTTTAGCTTTGAGTGTGAGCGTTTCATAATTTATATTTTTACCATCCATTTTTTAATTAGTTATTTATTAACATTACAACAATACAGGAAAAAATCAAAAAATTTAAAAAGTTAAGAACTTTAAAACTAGCAGCTGAAGAAGTGAAGGCTCTCAAATAATTGGCACGTGACCATACCCATAACACAATTTAAAATTCCATCTGATTCTCTCACTTCCTAGTATGCTAGTCAAGCAAAAATTAATGTATCGGGATAAAACTTTTCACGAATAATATCTTTAAAATATGCCACCTTATGACCAAATATGACAAATCGAATGAAAACTGTCCAAGCCCCTCGTTACCGACTAAGTGGACCCCAGTACACATAGCGAACTTAGTACCGAAAAAATCGGTCAATGTGTGAAATATATAATTAAAATTCCGGGACGATCCCATCCTGATAATAATATTTCGGAATCTCAAAAATTGGTTGAATCGGGTCAATACTTCCCCTAGCCCCCATAATATAAAGATTTTTCAGCTTACGGATGATTTTATGCCGCATATATCGGCCAATATGGGAGTTATCTCAATGAAAATTAGAGAGCGTGTTTTAATGATAACAGTGTTTATTTGTGCTTAACATAATTGACCTAGCCCCAATATATCAACTCAAAATATTAAATTTAGCCTCTTCGGTCGAGTTAATATCACAGAAATACCATATATCTCATTTAAAGGTGTCTTTAATATAATATTAACTCACGCGAACTCAAATACAGCAAAAAAAAGTGTATGGTCTTCAATATAAGTCAAGAAGATACCAATTTATTTTATGATATTCACTCTATCGCAACATTTTTTAATATAAAATTTTGCCAGCACCTGAATCAATTTCCCGGACGAATTCTTACAAGTTGCAAGAGTATAAATTGTTCGGTTACACCCGAGCTTAGCCATTCCTTACTTGTTTGTCTTATATTTAATATTTTGAATTTATATATCCAGTTATCCGTTAAACCTCTTTAATGCTCGTTATTGAGTCAAGCAGCTTGTTCTGAAGTTTAAGTTAATAATAAATGGCATTTAGGTCACCTTCATACAGCTCAAGAATATTATAAGAAGGCTCTTGGTACTAGTTTTGTGCTCGAATATGTGATTCAGCCGCCAATAGGTAAACTAAACAAGTAGGGAAGCACTAAGTTCTGGTTAACCGAACATTTCATACTCTTGCAACTTGCAAGGAACGCAGAAAATAGGAACACCTTCAGGTTTTGGCAAAACTTTATATCAAACTAAGAAAATAATCGTCTTAATTTCATGCATTTAAAGAAATAATATACACTGTTATCATAAAAAGATTATTTCTGAATTTCATTAAGATTTCTTACATATTGACCGATAGATGGCGTATAAAGTGAACCAGAGGTTCGAAAATATTTATGTTGGGTATTTGGGGGCCAAGGGAACTGTTAACCTGCTTTTACCCATTTTTGGCACAAATTATAGTGGGATTACGACAATTTTTGAACTTAAGATGAAATACCTTGAGGGCACTAGGCGTGGTTGTCATCCAATTCGCCCATTTTTGCAGTATCTACACACACAAACATTGTGAAACTTAATGCTTTTACTCGTCCTTCGACGTCTACCACTGACGATAACATCAAAAAATAATTTGGGCATGAGACGCGTCAATGCTCGGCTTGTTCCAAAAGAGCTGAATTTTTTTTCAGAAGGGCCATCATGTGCAACGATTTTAAGACCAAAAACTCGTTGAATACTATTATACTCTGTAGCAACATGGTGCAAGAGTATAAAAATAGAAGAATTTAGTATGCGGTTTATCAAATAACCTCTATAATTATATACTTAATGAATATAACCAGAATTCGACGTAACTTGTCAGCCATTAGCATATTTAATAACACATGAATATTTACACAATATTATGCAAATAATTCGTAATCAGTTTTATTAATTTTAGTCAAGTGCAGAGAAGTGTTGCGGCTATTCCTATGATTCAATGACAAAAAGTAAATATATCATATGAATTATACATTGAAAACACTAAATAATAATACACAAAAAAATCCAAAAAACCAAATAATATTGGAAATTAATTGGAAAACCAATTTGAAAAATTGAATTTCCACAACGCCGCACAAAAAAAGTCGTGTCAAACCGCAGTTGAACTTAATTAAATTTTACATACGCCCAAATAAAGTGCAATATAAATTAGCGAGCGGCAATGATTTTGACACGCCGCACAACACCCCTGAACCCGCCTGGGCAGAAGCAGCGCCTTTGGCGTAGTGGGATTACACCATTTGTAGCTGTCGTCGTTGTGTTGATGGTTGTGCTGATGTTAGGCAATGCAATTGCAATTCTGATGAAATACAGAACCAACAACAACAACAACGCAGATGCAAGCGCTTTAAATTTAGTTAATGGGACTAGCAGCAATACACTCAACAGTCAGTTAGCCGGTACCGTTGAAATTGCGATGTTTACGAGCAAATTTGCAACAACAATTAACGCGAATGAGGAGATGAACAACAAAAACAACAGCCTCAACAACAGCTACAACATCTTCAGCCATAAACAACAACAACTTTATGAAATTAACGCCGCAACTAAGCATTCTGTCGACACCATTGCCACACTTCGTCAGAATAATAATAATAGCAATTTGCTGGATACTCTTCCCGTCACTCATCGTAAAAGCGTTGATGATGAAATTAATATGCGCAATCAACACTATGAATTGAAGGTCCACCCAACAGCAGATGAGCAAACCAAAACGCCGGTGGCAGCGAGTGTGTCTCTAACGGCGATGACCAGTCTAACAGCAGCGCGGCGTGAGGAAGGCGCGGGTGGCGAGTACACACCTTCGCAACAACAGGAAAAACAACAAGACCGTGAAAATCACGCAAATACCGAATTACTGTTACATCGACAAAAGCGTTACTTGATCTTTCCCGAAGGCAGCTCTTTTCAGATGGGTGCGTATTAACAGAGTATGACTTGAGATTTCTTTTTATACAAAACTCAAAAGATAGGCAGCCACTTTAGGTTCGATTCCATCAGTCAACAACTCATAATGTCAGTTAAATACTATTGCAAAAACGACAACACTAGCACTAATCCTTTTCATATTAGTATAATTTTTTTTTTAATTTCCAATGACTATTTCATGGCTGATCATCCAAGACCTTGAACTAATCACAACGTTTCTTAGGCATTTTATTTTTATACCCGCTAATTCAGCAGAAGGTCTGAAGATGTTAGATTGAAAGCGTTTCAGCCTTGAGGCAAAGTCAAAAAATATTCTATATCGCCTTCTTAAATTTAGATGGATTATTGAAATATCTGGATATATAATCTCAACTGGTTATTTGTTTATTAAAAGCCGGAGTTTTTTTTGAAAAGGCTGTCTGTATTTGTCAGAATATACGTCTGACAAAAGGTTAAATTAGCTGACTCAACGATAATTGGCGTAGTACTTATATTTCTATATCTTATTTAATGGTCGAAGTACCTTTAAGTTTATTCAAATTCTAACTCAACCCTTCGCCATGGCGTTTGAATAGCTCCATCATCATAAATTGAGGTTCAGGCTTGCCATTAAGGAGATCGTTTCAGGTGTATGAAAAATTAGTTTATATATTATATTATATATCCGTTTTTAAACCTGTTGGAAATAATTTCTTTGGCTGTTGTTTATATTGATGTTTCCTTAGTAACAGTTCATACGTGCTGAGGTAATGATCAGAGAACTGGTGGGTCTGACCAGTCAGAGATCATGGCAACTTTTACCTCGCCTTTGGTTATACCTTATGGATGGATCAACAAGTATTCATTCTTTCTAGCTAACTTCATATTGCTTTGCCCTTTAGATTATTCATACACCGATTGCATCCGAAACAGTTATCTCTTACAGATATAAATCTTTAATTGCGTACTCCCAGTTCGCTAAATAAATCGAAATCACAATATACACATATGTATGATATTTACTCGTCTCAGTTTTTGATCTCATCATCGGAATGGTTGACTATACGAGTTATCTCATTTTGGGAATAACTTGCGCCGTCGCTTGGGAACTACCAAGTAAACCGCCCAGTGAATTAATCGAAGATTTACATGAAAAAGTAACGGAAGGCATTTACGCACCAAGTGTAACGAAACCAGCAACAGAGGCCACGGCGATGCGACGCAATGACAGCACCGTGGTCGACGATGGCAATGACAGACAGTATGGCGTGGACGCTGCGGGCATTAAATATGTGGATAATTCAAATAGGGCACCGTACTACGAAAATTTGAAGTCGTGGCCAATAGGCATAGTAGGATTGCCACAACCACCACAAACGCACCGGTTGCCACTTTTTAATGCCTTCGAAACAGCAAATCAACACAATATTTTACCCGCTACCAGTTACAGTGGCTATCATAAAGAGACACCTGACGCCCATAGTGGCATAGCCAACGGTGCTTATAGGCCGATAAACTATTACGCCAACATACAAAGTGACTACAAAAACAGCAACAACAACAACCAGCATAACAATCCTACGCACAAATACGGTTTTGCTGATAAAAATATGAAGTCAAGTTACTATGATGTCAGCGACAGCTACAACAAAAACCCCTTTGGCAATACAGCTCATGGTGATTCAACAGATAAACTTCCAGTGAATTTTCCCAATCGGTGGCAGCAACACCAGCAGCCACAGTACAAAAAGTGGCAATCATGGCAGGATTATGACAGCAACTGGCAGTCATATCAGCAGCCACAGCAAAAGCATACGAAATGGGCACAACAGCAACAACAACAATGGCAACAGCAGCAGCAAAAATGGTCAACTCAGTCGAAAAATGGGCTGAAAGACAGTTGGTGGACGCGCAACAAGCAACAAGTCACGGACAGTTGGCGCACAAAGCAAGCTGATGGCTTGGCTAACCGTTTGCGGTAAGTAGTACGGGTAGACATTAGCGAATATATAAAAGAGAAGCTAATTACACTCGAGTTCCTTTGTAAGACTTTTATTTTTCATTTAATATAACGGTGCTAAGAGGAATTTACTTTGAAATAGTATTTGATAAATGTTATTTAGCTAGCTTTGCTCGAGCGCCTAAATATTATTAAACAATAGTAGGGTTGTTAAAATTAGGCCCAATATATTCTGTCAATCTCAATATCTGTAAAAGAAATGTTGTTAGAATTTAGTATATATGTATGCTATACTTGTATGTTGGAAACCTCATATTTTTCTTCATATCTATTATGGAGTAATTGATGTTCTAGCCAATGAGTCATAAATTAAAAACACTTTAATTCACCTCACCCAGCCAATATGTTCCCTAATTAGAGGAATCTGCAAAAATATGAATATGATTGCATCACCAATAATTGGAAAAACCTTCGAAGCAGCAAATCCTCCCCAAGAGTTCTAAACAGCGCCTATTCAAGTGAGATTATTCGTGGCCTAACGAGAAATTAACTTATTTACCTAACCTAACCTAGATATTTCAAAAGGCAAAACATAACCGAGGAACATTGTATTTCTCTTTCTAAACCCAAAAGTAGACTGAGTTCCCAACTCGATGTTAATTGAGTTTTTTGGTACTTGATTTCAAGGCGGGTGCCGAAGTTATAAAATTTTTTACAGAAATCATAGTTTTATATAATTTTTAGAGATCGAAACCTCACATTTAGTATCGGACCAATTGGTCAATTAATCTGTGACCAACATCGTTTATACATACATATGTATTTCCCCCGTTTCTTCTTCTTACGTCACTTTATTTCGACGGAACTACGTTGAAGTGAGGATCGGCTGTCATTGTTTAATACTTCATAAGGTTTTGATTTATCCGTCGATAATCTATGGTCTGTCCAGCTTTCAGACAACCTTCAAATGCATTTCTGGCTTCTGATAACAGTTTCCTTTAAATTATTTTAGAGCGAAGAGAAAAATTTTCGAAATTGCCATTCGTAAAGTATTCTTCAGCGCATGCCATAATGAAGAGAAAAAATTCCTCGAAATTTCTTGGCTTGAAATTTTACTTGCAGCTCTTTAACTTTATCAAACAAAAACTATCGTTGTTTCCCACAGCATACCCGCTGCTACAATGGAAACTCGTCCCCCTGTGCTGACCTACGCATCGGCTGGTACCGATCCAAAACAATCGGAAGCTACAATCAGCTCGAACGCCGAAACAGTGGAAGGTCGCAGCTTTGATGGAGCTCAACGCCGCCTCCTCACAACACACCCGAAAGCCAGAGTTTATCCAGTTTTCGGACGCCGACGTCGTAGGCGGCGCAACGTGGATGCAGAATTGGATGACTTCGAGCATAAGCTGGAGCGCATACACTTGCGTGAGCAACTGCGTACACGGCAAAAGCTTTATGGCAAAATTGAGAAACTCTATGAAACGTGAGTGCATGGAAAACAATTTTTTTCTCTATGAAAATTTTTTCGAACATTTTTTCTAAAACTTCCAAGCGAACATGACCACTTCATGTTATATACATAATATGCTGAAGTTGTTTTTATACTCTTGCAACATGTTGCTACAGAGTATAATAGTTTCGTTTTCTTAACATTTGTTTTTATCACCTAGAACTAATCGAGATTGATATGGAGTTATATATAAGTATATAAATGTTCAGAATAACGAGACGAGTTGGAATCCGGATGTCTGTCTGTCCGTTTGGCCGTCTGTCTGTGTAAGTGATAACTTGAGTAAGAATTGAGATATCCTAATAAAACTTGGTACACGTGTTCCTTGACAAAAAAGTAAGGACAAGTTCGTAGATGGGCGTAATCGGACCCACATAACGCAATTAAAAGAAGCATCGGTCTCTAAGAGGTTTTATGTACAATTCTAATAAACCACTTTAGATCCAACAACCAAATTCACTGAAGACAAATTCCTTAAGCACCTCTGTAAAAATTGATGAAATTGGGGATCACCCGGCCCAAAAATTTACACATTTAAATAAAAGACCCGGGGTCAAAATTGGACGATCTTCGTGGCACCTCCCACATTTAGGTAAAAGCGAAAAAAAACATATACATATCTCCAGACACACTCCACCCAATTTCAACCAATTTCGGTACAACATTATCCGAGCAATACTATGTCAAACAGTAATCGGACAACAACCACGCCAACTTCCCATATAGCACAACTTTAATTCTATATAGTTTAGGTTGGTCAAAATGTGTGATATCTTAGTAAAATCACGTGGACACGTTTTTTCAAAAGTTATGAGATTATATAAACGATTTCGCCCTCAATATAAATGAAATTTGTCTTAATCTAAACCTCATATCCTGAATGGAATGAAGTTCGATCCTCTGGTTGACGTTTTTCACATAAACTCAATATATAATATGTATTAAATTTAGCATCTTCGGTTATGTTTATATCACATATATTTCTTTTAGGAATGATTTAAGTATTATTTTCACTGACGGGAAATAAGTTATTGTAATAAAAATAAGTGAGGCTATGACTTTCGAAATAAGTTGATATGATACCAAATTTGCTTATAATCCATTCACGGTTTCGTCGAACAATGCAGTAGAACCCTTTCGCTACATTTTTTAATATAAAGGTTTGGCAATACCTAATGGTATTTAGCCGGCTTTGATCCTTGCAAGTTACAAGAGTATAAAATGTTCGACTACACCCAGACTTAGTCCATCCTTACTTGTTTCTTTCTCGTTTTAACCATCGCTATCATTTTTCTTTACAGCCGCGGCATGAACGGCAGCGCTTGTGTGTTGCGTGCGCTTTGCGAAACTGGACAGCAGCAACAAAGCCATGAAGAGGATACAACCGCACCACAAAGTTTCATCACGGAACTATTGCGCGCCATTTTCGTGTTGCCTACAACTGGTGCAAGTGTAGAAGTTGATGCCAGCAATATGAACTTCGAAGAGCCCGCCCTACACCCAACCGATTTACACATCATTGATCGCCCATACAGGGAGGCGCAAGCGCATCGCGGCAGCTGTTCGCAACTTTTTGCCATGTGTGAGCACAGCATCTGGGAGTGAAGTGGCAGCATAATAAATGATGAACAACAAATATGAAGATTTGAAATACAAAAATAAAAAAATAATACCAAACTGTCAAACTGTGGAGTTTCTTTAACTAGAATTATTTTCGCTATGCAAAGGAACTTTTTGCGCCACTTTTATATTCCTTGTAGATTTTTGTTCATATTATTCATTTTTACGCAACGATTGTCCAAACATACTCCTTGGTGTTTTTAAGGTCGTAAGTATTAAAGAATTCTAAACTTCATTTTAATATTTTCAATGTCTCTACAGATAGGAGTCTCTCCTAAAAATGAATATTATCCCAATCCCATTGCAACCGACAGCAAAATCCATATCAAATATTTTCAGAGCTGTAGCACATTCCGGTACCCTCAACTGATAGTTTAGTTGAGCTAACAATATTTAATAAACCCTTCGGGCTAGACTCGAAATGACACCTCGATGTGTCGCAGATAAGAAAATTTCATATTAAGCTCGTCGAGAGAAGGCGTGAAATTCTGAAGTGAAATATGTAACTGTATTCTGGTTTAAATGACAATAAAGTTGACCAAAACTTTGAAATTAATCCCCCATTATGAGAGCTACTTATTTCCCATTTTCGAATCGCAGTGTTAACGCAGTGATCTTTTAAAGAGATATAACCTCACGAGAAAAAACGGCCTATTTTTAATATTATAACTCTGTACTAACCCAAAAATACACATTTTACAAAGATTTTGTGAAATTTTCAAAGGAAAATATTAAAAACTCGGCCACTGCAACGTCATTTCCGGTCATCCCTTGGAAAAATGGTGCCTACGTATTGACAGCAGAACTTCTTGCCGGCTGAATCAGTAAGAAGCAAAAAATTCGTGTTTTAATTAAGACCATAAACTAGGTATTGGAAGAAGAAAAAAAGTTTTTACAAAAAAATTCAAGTTTTGGTAAAAATGTCTCTCGAGCGCGCAAATATTCAAGGCTTATGTAAATACAAACAAACTTTTTTTTAGGTCGTGAAAACAATGTAACCCCTTAAGCCAATAAAGCCAATAATGCTATATTAACTTTCTTTAATCTGTTGAGAAAACGACATGGTCCAGACAAGCTCAAAATATATAGAACTAACTTTTTCTAACATCAATCGAACAGTAGGTACCAAAAGTTTGAGTGGGTGAAAAAAGCTTCTTAGAGAAAATTTTTGATATAAGGAGCTTACAGTTTAAGCAACAAACCGAATTTAAATGAAAGTCCTGTAAGATTCAAGCTTAGCTCGACAGCTTAATTTGCATATGACGGTTATCTCCAGAAAAAGGAAAATGAATTAGCTATCAAAATTGGACATAGATGACCAACTGACAAGTCCATTTCTGGTTTTGATACGACTATAAAAAAGTTTCCCTAAAGCTATAAGGTCAACTGACAGGTCCATTTCTTGTTTTGATTCTGTCATAAAAAGTGTTTTTCCAGAAAGAAACGATTCTTCCTATGGCACGCTGTGTTGATAGAATTTTAGCGCTTAGATGATTGCGATGAACGTGGAGAAACCAAAGCTCGCAAATAATTTTCCTGTTACCCTCATCATTAAGGGTAAGGTAAGTATAGTATTCATACTATTGCATAGTTAAATTATTTTTAGGTATGTTATTAGGTGAATGGTATCTTGAACTTAATGGGTTTTCGATCCAGCGTACTCTCCATCTGCGATGGGTATTTGTTAGACCCACAGAACATGCTATTCATGGGAGAGTCATTAGATGTTATAAAATGTAATGAACATATCATCCGTTTGCTTAGTAAACAGTAGTTAATCTAGTAGTTAGTAGTTCTTAGTGAGAAGATAAAAACTTTTCCGCCATAACTCTGACTCCACTCGAATTGATTACCGTATCTTTCATAGTCCACAAAGGCCTCTCTTAAAGCATATTTCATTTAATTTTTCTAACAAATAATTGAAAATTTTATAAGACTTCCTCTATATGTCCATAAGTGTCAACGGGTTTTTCTGCAATCAGAAAAAATGCTTATTGTCACAATAGGAGTTCCTCTTCTAAATATCACCTTGTTGGCCTTTTTCACAAGTTTGTTGACACTAAAACTTGAGGGGTTTTGAAAGGCTTTGAATTTCATACCAATTAAACGGCTAATAGAGTGGATATTAAAGGCAGACAGTCAACAAAACTACACTGACACACCCACACACATACAATATTGCCAATGCAACAAGAGACAATTGCATTTTATATATTTATTTCTCCAGAAGCCCTGGCTCGGCAACGTGCAACAAATAACTGGTCAACTGCCTGGCAACGTATCAATACAAAAGTGATTGGCAAAGAAGAGCACGAAAAAAAAGAATGGTTAAGCACCATTGTGTAGTGGAAACGTTTAAAAATAAATTCAAGTATGCCGCTTCATAGCCACTGGCTGAAGCGGAGCGTCTGAAGGGAGAATATGGCACGTTTAGAATTTCAAACTGCTGCAATCAAAGCTTTTTACACAATGGATGTTAAAATACTGCAAGGGAAAACTCTATACAATACAAATTATATGTGCGTATATATGTTGGAGGGCTTCTCAACTTTTTTAAATCATTTTTAGGGTTGAGAGTTCCTAGCTCTTGGGAAAAGTTCGTGTAAGGCGTTTTTGTAGAGATATAAATGAACAAGTAAACAAATGGTTTTGATCAGTATAATTTAGTCAATTGCCATTGAGAGAAGACTTTATAAGTACATCCCTTTTTAAAACTATGCTCACAATTGAGGCTAACGCCATCAACCTCAATTGTGAGCATAATAATAATAATTCTCACATCAATATCAATCATCACTTTATGGAAACTAATTTTAATAACTGAGGCTTATAAAGAAAAGGCCAATTGAGCACATAGATAAACCTAGTTGACTCTTGTACTTTCCGTGTGAGAAAAAATATTTTTTCGCATTAAATTAAAAGTTTTATTAAGCATAAATAAAAGGATCCGATTTAGGTAAAAAATGCACCGATTTATTCTATAACTTGTCATTTTTTATGTAATTTTATAACGCTACTACTACAAAAAACTGGGACAGTCGATTTTTACAAGCTACTCTTGAGGCGAATTTTCCACCAGCAAAATCATCCGTTATAAACAGGAACAAGTAGTAACCACTTTGTGTCAGGTCCAGACTATATGGTAAAGGTATAGAAATCTCCCCATCGAGCTCCCGGAACTTTTAGCAAGTCACCGAAGTCGATTTTTGAGGCCTGACGTCAACAGAAATTTTGCTTATAGTAGATAATTCATGCTAATTCCACTAAAGATATAGCCAAACCCTCCTCACCGTCAATCCTGGCTTAACCACCGTTTCCGACGATTTACCACAATTCGACCACCACCATTTTCGCCTGACGTTTTCGTAAGTGAGTCTTTGCAGCACCAGTAACCAGAGAATACAGTTCATTATCTCCACAATTGCCCCTGTACAAGATGTAAGCAACTTTTTAATATTTAACCAACGGCAAACTCTGCAGTGGGTAGAAGTTTATTCTTTCTAAATTGATTGATGGTATCCGTCCTCTCGATCTTCCCGTGGGTTATCTTCACCAAAAGGAGGGCTAGGTTTTTTTGCAATTTTTACAACCTTCTACGGAAATATGGAAACTTGTAAATTGTAGTCCATTTTGACATTCTTTACTTTTTTAAAGAAAATTAATATACCCTGTTCAGGGTATAAAAACACAGAAAATTCAAAAATAATGGGGAATGTTTATTATCATTCGAAAGAACACTCTTTGGCAATTATTTTTTGAAGAATAACACGCGTGATTTTTTGCTCCAAGGCCTGAATCGAAACGAGATTGTCCGCTGTTGCTCTTCGTCCCAGAAGCGACAATTTTGCTTGTTTACATACCTATTTTTTAACTAGGAATAGGGCAACATTGGCAGCAGGCAAGCTAGTGAGTAGTGTTGGAAACATTAGAACGCACAGCAATATTTTCGTTTGCTTGTTTGTATGCAAACACACGAATATGCATATAAAACTTTAATAGAAACAAGAGTCAAAATTTTCATTATTTCGTAAATAAAGCTTCTCGGCGAAATGAAGCACACCCACAAAGTTGAGTTGCTTGAAAAAAGGCGAACACAACGAAATTTCGTTTAAAACCAACACAACCGTTAATTAAATAAAGAGAAAAAGGAGAAGCATACGCTTAAAAGATGCAGCAGAAACGTGAAATAAATTTGAGAATTTAAATTGAAACGAGAGTGTGGAAAAGGTTTCGAAATACGATCATTTATGCACCGTTTAAAATCATAGCGTTGGAGTTATTTTTCAACAATTTCGTTTAAAAATAGAAAAAAACTAATAAAGTTATTTTATAAATGTAAAACTTAAACAAAAATGTGGACGTACGGAATTTTCGACGCATAGTGGTTAGGTGGGTTCAAAATGCAAGTTCCAAAAAAAACATTGGCAAAAATGGTCGAAAATAAATATTTAAGTATTACTGCAACTTATATTTAATTTTTGAATGAGATTAGAAAACTTGGATACATAGAGAACTCTGAACCTCAGGGGACTAAAACCTATATTGCAATTAATCATTTCCAATTCGACCAAACTGACAGTGCGTTATTCTGATGGAAAAGCGATCTTCTCTTTGCCAAATTTTTTTTGCGATTTGGCGTCCATCCGGCACAGTTGAGCTCTGTGACCGTATTTTCTATCTTCAAATAGTCTATGGAGATCATACTTCATTAATTGCAGAAAACGGTGGTCATCAACTTTCTGGTTGTTGTTGTTATTTTAGCGGCAGAGTCCTGCCTGACAGTCCTTGACCGAAAAGAAATCCGGGTCCGTTCCGATTACGTTAACCCGTCAGTCGTGGGAACGGATCATCTTTCCAGTACTTTGGGTAGTATTCCCCTTCTTCCAACCTGATGCCCCGTTAAATTCACTGTTTCGACTGTTCCTGTATTTGTTTCGTGAGCGTCCAGCAATCAAAAAAACTCCTTCAGTGTGCGACCACGCTATTTAATTTGTATCCACGACTTCGCTACCAAAGGCAAGAATCACGAGAATGTACTGCACGAACTCTTGCGAGCGCGCGGTGA